CACCGTCAGACTACGTGACATTTTTATCTGTTGTGATGGTTACTATGTCTGATTGGACAGCCATAAAATGTTGCATTTATTGATTGAGAGACAACAGATTACACTTTGCTCCCCAATCAATCATGACTGCTATCATTTATGATGTGTGTGACCTCATTGGAAAGGAGTAACTGACTAGCATGTTTAAGATAAAAGTGGTAACCAAAATAGTTTGTGAAATGCTGGCTCCTATTTTAATCCGTTTTGGTATTCCATCTAGCTGCTTTGTTGTCATCATTCTGGTTTATCATGTTTATAGTATTACACAGCTTAGTGGTATGAAGAACATCAGTGTGTTTGTTTTGGTCAGGTGCCAAACGTGATACAACCTTCATGGAAGAACCATAAAAATTCTAATGTGAAATTTTGGACATATCTTGCAAGATGAGCCCTTTTGTTGCCAACACAAACCGATGCTTTACGTTGCCTGGATTGGACGCAGTCTGGCTGATATTCTGTAGTGAACCCTGCAATAATAAACTGTATAATATTAATTGAATTGTTTCATTTTGGGGGTTTGTTTTGTTCTATTTTGTGATGGCAGGCATCAGCCTCCCAGAGGGTGTAGATCCCTCCTTCTTGGCAGCTCTTCCTGAGGACATCCGCCGAGAGGTGCTGCAGAATCAGCTTGGCATCAGACCACCCTCCCGTCCTCCAGCTGCTACAAGCTTGCCAGCCTCTACTGCACCTGTATTGGGAGGGCCAGGGGTTACAGAGGTCAGCCCTGAATTCCTGGCAGCATTACCACCTGCCATCCAGGAGGAGGTGAGAAGTTATGTTTTTTTTTTTAAATTGCGTGAGTAAGCAAAATGCTTATTCATAGATATTTCAAACAAATCCTTAAAGAAGTCACTGACAATTGGTTCTATTTACTAAGCATGCCATTGGTTGTCTTAGGTTCTTGCCCAGCAGCGAGCAGAGCAGCAGCGTAGGGAACTAGCCCAGCAGCCTCCCCAAGGAGACACACCTTTAGATCCCGTAACTTTCATCCAGACACTGCCATCAGAGCTCCGTCGCAGTGTTCTTGAAGACATGGAGGACAGCGTGTTGGCTGTCATGCCTCCAGACATTGCTGCTGAAGCTGCTGCATTACGTAGAGAGCAAGAGGCACGTCAGAGACAACTGATGCATGAAAGGCTTTTTGGTCATAGTTCGTCTTCAGCCCTCTCAGCCATCTTGCGCTCACCGGCCTTCACTAGCCGGTTAGGAAGCAATCGTGGCGTCCAGTACACCCGACTGGCTGTGCAGAGAGGAGGGACATTTCAGATGGGTGGAGGAACAAACCACAGGTATAATAACAGTGATCTAATTTTTTAAAATGTTTTCCTTTTTAAATAAAATGTCGGTTTGGCATTTAGGAAATCTTACAGAAGTTTTGACAGGTGACATACTGTTACTACTTTTTCTTCAGACCATCCAGTTCAAGTGTCGACTCCCTGTTGCGCCTGCGTGGACGATTGCTTCTGGACCACGAGGCTTTGTCCTGCCTGCTAGTTTTGCTGTTTGTGGATGAACCGAAACTCAACACCAGCCGTCTGCACCGTGTGCTCAGGAACCTCTGCTACCATTCTCAGACACGTGGGTGGGTCATTCGCAGCCTGTTGTCAATCCTCCAACGAAGCAGCGAGAGTGAGGTATGCGTGGAGACCTCACGTCTAGAGGACTCTCGCGGCAAGAGGACCAGCCAGGGAAGCTGTGGAGGAAAAGGCACAGCCACCTCGTCCCTCTCCTCATCTTCATCTTCTTCTTCTTCATCCCCAGCTTCCTCCTTAGAGTTATTGAACAGGGTGGAGTCTCGCAGTTCCAGTCAGCTTTCCTGGCTCTCTGTTTCTATGGATGCTGCCTTGGGTTGCCGAACAAACATTTTCCAGATTCAGCGAGCATCAGGTAGGAAGCATGCTGACAGGCATTCAGCTGGAGGCTCTTCAAGTTCTGGGACATTGGGAGGTGTGTCAGCGGGTGCAACGAGTGTCACATGTGCTGGAGGTGGAGGCTCCACTGTTCACATCCACCCACAAGCTGCTCCAGTGGTCTGTCGACATGTGCTGGACACACTTATTCAGCTAGCCAAGGTGAGGGTTTAGCTATATTGATCTAAATCTTTTGTCCATTCTGTGTTCTAAGACTTGAAATGAAGTTGGTTACTCAAGTTATTCAGTGTCCTTTTGTTTTTTCTTTTCTTCTGCAGGTGTTCCCCAGCCACTTCACGCAGCAGCGTTGTAAGGACTTGTCAGCTTCGTCTTCTGACCTAGACTCTCGTCTTTGTTCAGGCTCCTCAGGAGGAGGGGGTGGAGGTGGAGGCTCCAGGTCAGGGTCACAGTCTCAGACCAACCCTAATGTCTCCAACACCCAGAACTCCCTGGGGTCTACCGCCTCTACCCTCCAGTCTCTAGGAATCTCCACCGATTTTTGGGACCTACTGGTCAAGCTTGACAACATGAATGTCAGCCGTAAGGGCAAAGCCTCAATGAAGACGGTGCCTCTAGGTGGAAGTGCAGAGGCAGAGGGAGCCCAGTTCAGCTTAGAGACCTCTCCTCTAGGCCAGCTGATGAACATGTTGTCCCACCCTGTGATCAGACGGAGCTCCTTGCTCACTGAAAAGCTGCTGCGCCTGCTCTCCCTCATATCCATTGCCCTCCCTGACAACAAGGCCACAGAGGTGCCTGCTGGACATCCAACTCCACAGGCTCCTAACCCCAACACGGCAACCAGCTCAGGAGCCACAGCCTCAGTCACGACACAAGGCACCGCCGCAGTGGGCGCTATGCAGTCCACTGTGGCAGGCCCAGGGGCTTCTGTAGGAGCTGTAGCCCAGGGTACATCCTCAGGGACAAGTATAGCAACCTCTCAGACATCCTCTACAACAATCTCTATACCCACGTCCACTGGAACAATCTCTACAGGTAGTGGTACTTTATTCCTGAATAAAATGTGATCAAATCTTAAATTTAAATCTTACAATGCAAGAGATTTTATTAGAAAATGATAATTTTTATTAATGAAAATGTTTTTTTTTTTGTTTTTTTTCGAAACAGGAAAACAGAGGGGTGCTGTTAGCAATACAGAGAGTGAAAAGTTGGCTTCCACTGGACTGACAGAAAAACAGCTTCAACTCTCTGTGGAGGTATGATGAAATGATTTAAAGAAATGTCGAGGGCTTTTCCCAGATATTTCTCTGAATAACTTCTAAGGGTCAATTAAGGCAAGCTTGTTGGTAAACTGAGTTAAGTTGAAGTCAGGATACATTTAGTTTTTGGGCTCAAAACTAAAATTCAGTAATATTTTATTAAGTAGCTCTAGATCATCAGGCATTTCAGTTTTTGAGGCAAGGACTTCAGATATTGAAAACACATTTTTCTTTTAATATCCTGTTAGTGGAAGAGTTGCCTGATGTTTGCGATTCTCTCTCGGCAGAGACACAAATGTTAAAACACATTTTAGGATGTGGTTTAAAACCCCAGTCTACAGTAAATTCTTCAGTAAAAATGTGTTTTAAGAAGTAACAAAAGTGCAGTGGTTTGTCTGTTAAACACTATTAGGGAAAAATAAAATGCTGGACTGCCAGATAAATTAACCAGACTACTTTGAGAATGTTGACTGTGTTCATCCAGACTTAAGAGAAAACACCAAAGCTTATGTCTTTTAAGTCTTCAGTAGATTATTATGGATGGATAATATTACTTTATGTGATGAGGGAAAAAAATCAGAGCAGAAAGGGTTTTTTTGTTTTTGTTTTTTTAAAGTCAGATTACATAAAAAAAAAATCTTAACTCTCAACTCTTTTCTTGTGACCTTTGTCAATTTCAAATCAAATCAATTTATTTATATAGCACTTTTCACAGGATAAAAACCACAAAGTGCTTCACAGTAATATAAAACAGATATACATAAAATACATTAATAATAAAACACAGCACAAATCTAATTAAAAGCCAATCTAAATAAATGAGTCTTAAGCTGCTTTTTAAAAGAATAAATACAATCAAGGCAACGTAATGATGGAGGGAGAGCATTCCACAACCTGGGGGCCACCGCTCTAAAAGATCGATCACCTCTGGTTTTAAAATATGTTCGAGGGACTTCCAACAGCCTTTAATTAGAAGATCTCAGGCTGCGAGAGGGAGCGTGGGGTTCTAAAAGATCAGAAATGTAAGCAGGGGCGTCACAATTCAAAGCTTTAAAAGTCAGTACCAAGATTTTGAAATGAATTCTGAAATGTACTGGAAGCCAGTGTAATGAACGTAACACTGGTGTAATGTGCTCTCTTTTTCGTGTCTTAGTTAAAAGCCTTGCAGCAGCATTCTGGACTAACTGGAGACGGTCCAGATTCCTTTTGCTCAAACAAAGAAAAAGGCTGTTACAATAATCTAAGCGAGAAGAAATAAAAGCATGAATAACTATTTCTAACTCAGACAGCAAAATTCGCAGTTTGGAGATGTTTCTTAGCTGAAAAAGGCAGTTCCTAATTAACTGGCAAGAGTGTTGTTCTAGGGACATGGCAGAATCAAAGATCACACCTAGGTACCTGAGGCTCGGGTGAACAGATGAGCCAAGAGAACCAAGATGCTGTTTGATTAGCGATATTTGGTTGTCGGGAGCAATAATTAATGTTTCTGACTTCTCAGAGTTCAACTGTAAGTAACCTTTGTGCCAGGTTTCTTGGCATAATCAGTGTTTGGGTGAATGAGGCAAGTTGTGTAAAGCGCTTTGAGTGCTCAGAGTAGAAAAGTGCTGTATAAGAGCCAGTCCATTTACCAAATATATGTGTAAGCAGCCATCAAGGAAGTTTTAGTGCTGTCCTTAGGGGTTAGTGCTGGCCAAGATGTTCAAGTAGGCCAGGGAACTATACACAGCAATCGCACTTGTCAAATACATGCTTGGCTGCAGTATGGACAGATCACCTCATCTGGTTACGCCCTTATTGGTAGCTTTTTGTGTTTAGGAGCATAAACAGCAGCTTGTTCATGACAGTGTATTCTTGGAACCTGGATTTATGCAGAAGTAATGCAGCATAACATGTGTCGATAGTTTTAGGAAATTGTCTTACTGCTTGTTCATAATGATCTCATTTGTTAAAATGTCTTTAAGTCTTTATATATTTTTCTGTTCTTTGTTTTCAACATTTATTTTTGCAATGATGTGTTTTCACAAACGATTCTTTTCCTCTGCGAAAGGTGTTGACATCTCACTCGTGTTCAGAGGAAGGTCTGGAAGATGCAGCTAACATTCTGCTGCAGCTTTCTAGAGGAGACGCTTCCACCAGAGACACTGTACTCAGACTGCTGCTTAGTGGCGCAAGACATCTCGGATACACTCTTTGCAAACAGATCGGTAGGTTTTGGGGACGAGCGTAGGTGCCAGTTCATATTCCTGTTTTTTTTTCTTTACAAACTTTTGGAACATTATTTCTTTTCTTTTTTTTAGGGACATTACTGGCCGAGCTTAGAGAGTACAATTTGGAGCAGCAGAGACGGGCACAAGCTGATTCACATTCCCCTGACGCACCTCCCGAGGATTCCTCCATATCAGCTAGGCTGAAGGGCAAGATGACAAGCAGGTTAGCTCATGACAATTCTCATCGGTCAGTGGCATTATTTTGTCAGCGTAGATAACTGGCAGATTAGGAAAAAAAAATTATACTCATTAAATTTGCATTGTAATGATGACTATAAACTCCTATGCCTTGTATGTGTCTGTTGATTGGGACACAGGTTTGACGGGTCAGAGAGTGTGGTGATTGTTGCGGCACAGAAGCGCACGCTCGGGGGACGTGAACTGCAGCTTCCTTGTATGAGCTCACTAACATCCAAGACATCGACACAGAAGTTTTTCTTGCGAGTGCTGCAGGTTATCATCCAGCTCCGCGAGGACACAAGGCGCGCCAACAAGAAGGCCAAACAGACAGGGCGCTTGGGTAAAAAACATGCTACATATACAGTGCTTTCTTGGTTTTTGTGTACAATATAGTCATCGTGTCTCAATGCTTAAAACCCCTTTCTTCCATTTGTGACTGGCAAGGCTCCACCAGTTTGGGCTCAGCAAGCAGCATCCAGGCTGCGGTGCGTCAGCTGGAGGCCGAGGCTGATGCCATCATCCAGATGGTGAGAGAGGGGCAACGGGCACGTCGGCTGCAACAGGCCCCCCCACCCACCGCCCCTTCTGCCTCTGCCGCCGTCGCTGCCGGATCCTCAATGGCTGCCCCCCATCCTCCTGCTGGGGCTGCTGCCCCTGTTGGCACGGCTGCTGCTGCCACGGTTAGCATGGGCTCCACTGACAGCAGGCATTCTTACTCACACAGTCAATCATCATTTTAATGCTTAAAAGTCATCATTGACTATGCGGTGTGACCTTCACACTGAATTTATTCATACTTGGTGTGGTGGTCATCAAGATACATACTATTAGTCATTTGCCTTGGATTTGGACATTTTAATCAATTAGCCAACCCATTAATTATATTGCACATGCCTTTAAAAAGTAGGAAACTCCAATTCTACCCTTTGTATTGGATTTAATTATTTGTAAACATATTACATTTTACATTCACCCTATAGTCTGCTACTTCAAGTAATTTATGCATTGTGACATCTGCTTTGCTGCTATGATGAACATTGACAGCTCCAACAGAGAGACAGATGGGCCAGTGATTCATTGCACTCTTTATCATTCTTTGCATTGATGTAGTCTAGTTTTGATGTTGCCTAGATGTGAATGTGCTGCCTGCTCCAAATGGTTTGATTTGTTTCACTGAAGTCGTCTGTTTGCTGGCTGATGTTGCTTCATGCTTTTGGCCCACCCTCCCCTTCCTCTCTCCCTCCTTTCCTTCCTTACTTGCTGTGTCAGTGGATCATGGGAATGTCATTTTGCATGACAGTCTCAGTCAAGATTGAACACTATTAGGGATGCTCTGATGTTCTTGGCCAATACTGTATCAAAAACAGACTGGACGAGTGTATTCTGTATATACTGTTTAATTTTCAGCCTATTAAAAACGTAACCATAAATGTACTTAAATTTGTTATACAAAACAGATAAATATTAGTCACTGCTCTATTGGCCAATAGCTCAGTTTCAGTAAACAAGATGATTATTAGCAAATAAATCTGTGCATCCCTAATTATTTCCAAACAAGCCATCATGTTAGTCATTATTTTGTTTTGTTTTTTCCCCCCTGTTGTTCACATTCTGTTTCTGCCTCTGGTTCTGCCTGGTTTATTTTCTGTAGTCTGAAGGCCAGTCGGTTTCAGAATCCCAGTCAGCACAGAGAGATGATTCTCCAATGGATGTGGACCAGCCGTCTCCTCTAGAGCAAGACCCCGCACCTCTGGGTATGACTCACAAGCAGCCTGTTAATTATACCTTAAAACACTCTCTGCTTTACTGTGATTTTTGCTTCAGTGGAAGATGCTTACATCTAATTGGAGTTCCTTTAAAAGAAAAAAAACAAACCTTTTTATTATAACAAGCAGCTGCAACACAGATAAATAAATTTTTAATCGCAGACTAAAGAGCAGTCTTGTTAACAGTCAAAATGAAATGTATATGACAGCTGACAACAACGCTGATGCAATGATTCGGTCTATATTGTAACTTTATTAGATGAAGAAGGAAATGGTCAATCAGAGAGTGAAGAGAGACTTCCAGATCTCCCTCTGCTCAGTGAGCAGCTGTTGTTGGATGAACTATGGGACATGCTCGGGGAGTGTCTGAAAGAACTGGAGGAATCACATGACCAGCATGCCGTCCTGGGTAGGTGGAAATTCAGAAATGTACATACTGTGATTTTTATATTCTACTAATTGCTATCAGGGATTAAGTAACATGTTCTCCTAATGCTGTTTTCCCAGTTCTCCAGCCTGCTGTGGAGGCATTCTTTCTAGTCCATGCCACAGAGCGAGAGAGCAAACCTCCTGTGAGGGATACGCGGGAGAGCCAGCTTTCTCACATCAAAGATGAACCTCCACCACTGTCTCCAGCACCTCTTACACCTGCCACACCTTCATCTCTAGACCCATTCTTTTCCAGGGAACCATCCTCCATGCACATCTCTTCAAATCTGCCACCAGATACTCAGAAGTTTCTCCGCTTTGCTGGTAAGCCTAAAATATTCAAATAAGGAGAATGATAAAGCTTTGTTTTAGTTTTTTTTTTCTTTCTGGCTCTTGATGAAGGCGGTCGCACTTTTCTCCTCTCCGCCTCCTCCTCTCCCTTAGCTTCCCTGCTTAGCCTCTTGTGTCCTTGTCTAGTCTGTGTTTTTTTTGTATTACTTTCACTGGAACACTCTCTCACAGTCTGTTCTCAAAAACCTACAAGAGGAATTATGGATTTGATCAACTGGTCCCTGAATGCAATTGACACCCTTTTCTCAACGAGAAGTCTGGGCTTGGGTGAGCCTGAGTGTCCTGGAGGTACTTTCCCTGCCGGATACACAATGGACAGGTGGAATAACTGGAGGGTTGTGTGCCTGGCGAGACTGTCGATCGAAGACGCTGAAGATATCTACCTATTCGGAACCATGATTACAGGGTTCTTGCTGATCGGAGCTGGCTTGGCCCTGGCTTATCGAAGAATTAAGAAAGCGGAACTGGCTGTTCAAACCCCCACAAGGCTGCCCGCTGGGATTGAAACGATGCTGCTCTTTGAGCACAAGATCGACAACATCACGGAGCGTAAGTTTGATAACATCATGGAGAAGCTCGCGGCTCTCCAACGGGAGATTGAGAGACCAGTGTCGGACTGTTAGAACAGCTTTGAAATTCATACGAGTTGATCGCACTAAAGTAAAAACCACCATCACTTCGTGCAGCTACCACTTCGGCGCCCGCTGTGGTCTCAAGGCTAGAGCTGAACAAAAACACCCTGATAACAGACTGTGCTTAGACTGTTCTTCCTATCCTACGCAAGGCCACCTGGGTTGGCTGGAAGACTGTTTACTTAGCCTGGCAGGGCGAAGGACAGTGTCTCAGCTGAACTCTGGAGAGACACACACACACACACACACAGACATATATACACACATGCAGATATACACTCATCCCCCCTCCTCCTCCAAACGCCTTCGACGCTTACTCCCTTCCAATGCAGATGGTGGATCAAGGAGACCAGCGCATAGGCTGCAGGCCCAGATTCACTGTCTACACTGGCTGTCTCTCACCCTTTACCCACCCCTGTTGCTTGTCATGTGTTTCTTTGGTGTATTAAGAGTTTTTCATCTGCAGAGGTGTTTTTTTTCTGTTCTGTTCTCAGACTGATCTCCCTGTTGGAGCTCAGTCTGGGGGGGGAGTTATTTTTTTTCTCCTTATCTTTCCTCATGTGGTGCATCTTCCATTGTTATACCTCTCTGACCTGTCCTCCCCATGTGATGTTTTTGTGTAATTATGTATGGTCGGAGGGTAAGATGGCGCCGCCATTGCGCTGGCAATGGTCGGCAGCCTTAACATGAAATTTGCCACTCGTGGGACTAATCAGGTATCTTATCTTATGGTATATGTTCTAATGGGAGTCCTTACTCTTTATTTCTAGAAACTCACCGCACAGTACTTAATCAGATCCTGCGGCAGTCAACCACTCACTTGGCCGATGGACCTTTTGCAGTACTGGTTGACTACATACGCATCCTAGACTTTGATGTTAAGAGGAAGTAAGGAGAATTATCTTCAGCTTAAATTTTGTACTTTGAAGTGTCCTTTTTTCTCCTTTTCCCTCCTTTTTCCCATCGTTGACATGCTGGAATTTCTGTTTGTCTCTGTAGGTACTTCCGCCAGGAATTGGAGCGGCTGGATGAAGGCCTGAGGAAGGAGGACATGGCAGTACATGTGAGGAGAGATCATGTGTTTGAGGACTCGTACAGGGAGCTGCATCGTAAGAGCCCAGAGGACATGAAGAACAGGCTGTAAGGCTTCATTAGTCTTTCTGTCTATCTGCACGGCTCCTCAATTCAAACCCACTCAACTTGATCCACTCACCTTCCTTTACAGGTACATTGTTTTTGAAGGGGAGGAGGGTCAGGATGCTGGCGGCCTGCTGAGGGAATGGTACATGATCATCTCCCGGGAGATGTTCAACCCAATGTATGCCCTGTTCCGCACTTCACCAGGGGATCGTGTCACCTATACCATCAACCCATCATCGCACTGCAACCCCAACCATCTCAGCTACTTTAAGTTTGTGGGTCGTGTTGTGGCTAAGGCAGTCTATGATAATCGGTTACTGGAGTGCTACTTCACCCGCAGCTTCTACAAGCACATCTTGGGCAAGAGCGTCAGGTATTTGAGCTACTAGCATTTAAACCCAAGTGACCTAATTGTCGACACGTTGCACCAGTTAGTGTAATGATCTCAACAAACCCATGCCGAGTTAAATACAACACTAAATGTTGTGGCAACCGGAGAACCAGTCAGCTATAGATTTTTCTTGAACGTGTCAATAATATGATTACATTTCTGTGGTATTCCTAGGTATACGGACATGGAAAGCGAGGATTACCCATTCTTCCAGGGCTTGGTTTACCTGTTGGAAAATGATGTTTCCACCCTGGGCTATGAGCTGACATTCAGCACAGAGGTTGGTGTCTATTCTTTATGTATTTTTTTCCCTGTTTGATGGAATTTAATATGTTCCTTAAAGGTTCAAAGTTCTCATAGAAGTGCTGTTAAGGTTTAATTACCTGAACCCTTAAAAATGCTACTGCTATCAATGTTTTTGACTATCTTTGACTGTATGTGTAGGTCCAGGAGTTTGGGGTATGTGAAGTCAGAGACCTCAAACCAAATGGAGCCAATATTTTGGTCACAGAGGAAAACAAAAAGGAGTATGTGCACCTGGTGTGCCAGATGAAGATGACAGGTGAGTTTTTTCTTAATACTAATGCTGCATCAGTGAAATTAAATGCTAAAATAATTGGTGTAGGCAAAAACAATAAGTCATCAGCAGATGCCATTTTATTGCCATGTTATAATGCAATCTAAATGATGCCACTAGGTGGCAGCACTGCAGCAGCATTAAAGATGCAAAGTTGAGCTACAACCGCACATTATTGAGAGATGCTTTGAATTTTCAGGTGCTTAACTGAAAAATAAACAAATTCTCACTCACTAGGTGCAATCCGCAAGCAACTCGCAGCCTTTCTTGAGGGTTTCTACGAGATCATCCCCAAGAGACTGATCTCCATCTTCACTGAGCAGGAGCTGGAACTGCTCATTTCTGGCCTGCCTGCTATTGACATCGATGACCTCAAGGCTAACACTGAATATCACAAGTACCAGTCCAGCTCAATCCAGGTAGGGATGAGGAAATGTTTGCAGTGTTTTTAATTGTTTGGTAAGATATGTGCACGATTCCTCCTGGAGGACTTAACAAATACACCAGCATGTAGCTGAACAGCGAATACTATTTATTTTTTTTGTTAATATGGAGCTTGAACTTAAGTTTCCAGCTGTAGAAGTGATGCAGACACATTTGGTTCGATAAAGCGTTTCATTTGAACTTTCACACATAGCGCTGAATATGATTTGGGAATATTGAAAAGCCTTATAAATTATCTTAAATGTTTCTTGACCACAAGACACTTGCATATTGCTTAAGAATCACATTTTCTTACTATAACTGAAACACAAATGTATGTTTGTAACTCGGATAAATCTCTCCTTTAGATTCAATGGTTCTGGAGGGCCTTGCGGTCATTTGATCAAGCAGACCGGGCCAAGTTCCTGCAGTTTGTCACTGGCACATCCAAGGTTCCCCTCCAGGGTTTTGCAGCTTTGGAAGGCATGAACGGCATCCAGAAGTTCCAGATCCACCGTGATGATCGATCCACTGACCGCCTGCCATCTGCTCACACTTGGTAAGCATGTTGAAAGTTGATATGGCACAAATATCTGTAGATGGTTCAAAAAAGCAAAACTTTAAAACTGTAATGTTTTGTTTTTCATCCTCAGCTTTAACCAGCTGGACCTTCCAGCCTACGAGAGCTACGAGAAGCTGAGACACATGCTGCTGTTGGCCATTCAGGAATGCTCCGAGGGATTCGGACTGGCTTAAACTCTGAGACTCTTAACACACAGAGACATGCATACACTTAATTTTAGGTTTGCCTACTCCTTACACATTCACATTGATAACCTTTGAACGCACACACCAACATAGACATTACTGGATTACTTGTTGAATGGCCTAGACTTGCTGGTTTCTATTCCACATAAAACAGATAAAACCAGCAAGTGAAATAGACTGATTGACATTGCGTACAACACAGAGAGCCTCATTCTGACACTGTTGTGTCTCCCTTCCCAATTTAATGGCAAATGCAAGAGGGGATTCAAAGGATAAAACATGGACTAATATAAGAGATGTTTTCTTCATTTAGTTTGATTTCTCTGTACAAAAGGTTTGGGAGTTTATTATGTTCAATCTTTTTTGTTCTCTGGCTGTGTAAAAAACAAAAAACAAAAAAAAGATTGTTTGAACAGGATGGTTATAAAACCTTTGGGGAAAAAAATGTTGGTGGTTTCCTGTTGCGAATTTGTGACCTCACAAGCTTTGATGACGGGGAACATTTTTATGAGGGGTATATGAACAACTTGAAAAGTTTTGGAGCTATTCACAAAAATGCACTTTTCAAAGTTTTGTGGCATTTTTAAGGATGGTACAAAAATGAAGAGAAAACCTGAAGGAGATTTAAAAAAAGAAAAAAGAAAAAAAAAACATTAACCACATAAACTCTAGAGTATTTTTGGCTATTAAATCGCTGACCCAGCCTTGAGCCTTTGAATCAGAGTGGAATAACTACATGAATAAATGCGTAAAAATGCGTTCATTGTCTCTTTTAACAGTGTTTTAACCACTATTTGCAGCGAATTAATTTCATCAAAGATGTCTCTATTCATAATTCTACTTAGCAGTTGAACAACCACAAAAAAAATTGTTGCCAGTCCGACACTCTAGTTTGTGTGGCACGAGTACCAAATTGAACCCTTGCAATGCTACGAATCAGACTGACTGTTGGAAAAAAAATAATCATTTAAGCATGTAATAACTGATGTCATCGTGAGCAGAGTGCCTGCTGGGTAAAGGGATCAGTTGGAACCAGAAGAGGAGCCCAGCTTGACCCAGTTTGGCCTCCCTTCTCAAACCTGTGTGTGGTTTTCATTACTGATGAAAGAGAGAGACAACAAAACGATGGTATACACACATTTTCACCTTCACTGTCAGATTGCCTTTCCTTGGTTTGAACCAACCTGAAGACGTGATCTACTTGTGTGTTCAGTTTTGAAGTCAAAGGACCAACAATGGTCAGGTTATCTTGTCGTTTTGCATCATCACAAAGTTTATTTAGGTTTGTCGTTACTTAAATGGGTTGTGTAGTCTAAACAAAACAAATCTGTTATAAGTTTAACTCTCATCGTCATTGCGTGGTCATATTTAGTACGAGTACAAGGAAACTGTAGTCCTCTCCCACATCGGTGCTAAAATAAGACAAGCAAAACACAATTTCTGGAGTCTAGCAGCTTCGGTCGGTTAACAGTTAAACATGTTGACATACCAGATAACAAAAAAACACAATGGGCACAAATTGTGTAAGTTTTTCTTTTTAGTTTAGACCATTTCAAACCACAGGCTACCCAGAAACCAAGTGTGTGAATTGACTCAAGTCCAAAATATTACTGGAAACCAGACCACATGACCACAGCTGGACAGAACTGCACACCAACACTTAATCTCAAGCCTTTCTGCTCTCTATGCGCTACTCACATCTGTATTCATTTGTTTTCTTATTGTCTTACCCCCCCTCCTCCAAACCCCCCAAAAACTGATATTTCCACTGAAGTAGAAGTTATGGTAAACGATACTGTTGATGATTTAGTGAGAAAACTTAAAAATGATTCAGTAGCTTGAATAACTATGTTTAGCTTGGATTAATTTGACTTGTCAGTCTCTCTGATTATTGATTATTTGGCCCACTTTTCTTTAAACGCTTCATGTACAGCCATTCATTCATTCATTCATGTGCAACTCTCTTAAGGTGCTGCCACAGCATTTCAGTCTGGATTCACTGAACCACTGCAACACCTTGAGTCTGTTTATTTCCTTTCCTCTCCCTCACAGTCATTATGTTGTAGGTATGCTACTGTGCTTTGGATCACTCTCATGTTCTGAACCAATATGGGCCACGCTTTAGCTGTCAGGTAGGCGGCCTCACGTTTGACTCTAGAATACTTTAATATTCATCAGAGTTCATTGATAACTTGGTGACTATAAGGCTGTCCAGGTCCTGTGTCCCATCACCCCTCTACCACGGTGCTGACAGCAGGTATGATGTGCTGATATGCTGGGTTTCATCTCCACTTTGGTCTTGTTTGTCTAAAGGACATTGTTCCAGAGGTCTTGGGCTTTCTTTAGATGCAACTTTGCAAACCTAAACCGTGCGGTGACAACTTTCTCTTAGCAGCCCTTCAGTCTTTTTGTAATTGTACTGTCATAAGCTTTTAATATTTAACACACTCACTGAGGCCTGTGGAATCTGAGATGAAGCTCTTGGGCTGGGACATAAAAAGATTGGGGCATTGTTTCAACACCCAACTGAAAGCTCACGAACAGCAAACTGCCAACATGTCTTTTAGAGATGCTCACGATCACTTATTCTAGTGCAACATCTGGCTACTGTTTATCCTCTTAAATCCTATGGCAGCAGTAAGGATGCACAGAGTCCTGTGAATACTTTTCACATGACTGTCCCTTCTTGTTTTAACAGCCGCACATCACTCTGAATCACCAAAGTTTAAACTTGTGATATCTGCTCTGGTGCTTTGTGCTATTTTTGTTTTTTACTTTTGTTTGTTTTTGTTTTTTTAAAAGTCAATTTTTTTTCACAATGCTGAACAAGAAGAACAAGAACGGATGTCTCATTTCGTGTTTACGAGGACATCGTGCCAAATACTCAGTCGCTGGAACAGAGCAGCATCTGGTCAGTCTGTTTTTTCTAAATATATTCTAGTGCTTGTAATTTCCTGTCATTCCCATTATCTTCTGCTTTTCTAGGATAATTCATGCCTTGAACCACACACTTACTCAAGACCTTTGAACTCATGGACTTTTCATTCTTAACTCTTAAGAATGACATCTTAACATCCCCAAGTTCCCTTCTTCTCCACAGTTTTTGTCACATCCACATTTTAGGCTTAAAACTATGTGGTTAAATATTCTTTGTAACACCCTGTTATTAATTCAAAAGAGAAATAATCTAATATCACCATTTACTTTCAGAAAACTTTTTAGTCTCAGTACCAGCGTGTTTAAGAATATTATACAATGGTGTGGAAAAGTGCCCCCCCCCCCCCCCCAAATGTGGCTGAATTTCAACAATTCTGCAGAGATGAGTGAGCCAAAATTCATCCACTGCAAAGCAAAAGACTCATTGCCAGATGTCCCAAACATTTGATTACAGTTGTTGCTGCTAAGCACGGCCCAACCAGTTTCCCCCCCTTAATAATAAAAACCTTAATTCAGAAACTGCATTTTGTTTGTGTCATTTTTGTCTAATATTTAAATGTCTTTGATCTGAAACATTTAAGTGGCAACACTTTTTCACACCACTGTATCTTGTTCTGCTTCCTTGGGGTTCCCTGCTGCTCCTCTAAACCCCTCGCATGTCTGCACCTGTCGTTCCCTCAGTAATCCCCTGTGTATCCACCTTCTTTTCACTGCTCTCACACGCCAAATTTGTTCCACTTCAGGACTCCTACAACACCAGAAATCGAATTGAACCCACCCACCAGTGTTTCTTTGACCCTCCCCCCACCTCAGCTCCCGCCACAAACCTGCACACGAGGGGTAGAATCGTAAGCGTCCATGTCTGATTTGGTGCGTGCTGAGGCGTGATAAATGAAATTACAGTGCTGTCATGCAGGGATTGCAGAGCCCCGCAGTAAGACCTGGTTTTACAGTACAATGGACAGCAACATCTCCTGCATGTATGAAACACAGATGCCATTTTCCATTTGCCACACTTGATTCACATTCTGTAAGCATCTGTTGCTTTGTTAAGGCTTTGCTTTCCAATTAAATGGTGGGAAACTAATTAATGCTTTCAGGGAATTTGCCTGGCAGAAGATTTCAGTGGGCTAACTTCTCTGCTAACCGGGGGGGATGTTTGATTTTTCTTGGAAGAAATGACGTTGCACCTCTGGCTCAGTGTTTCCCGTAAGCGTATATTAGGGATGAAGATGTCAGCAGTGCTGCCAAAAGAGCTGTTGCAATGCATTGCGCCGCCACCTCCACTGGGTGGGGGTGATTGTGCGAGACTGAACAAGGTGTTGCCTGTTCTCCATGTCGGTGCATTTTCTTTTATTTCCATTTCATGCTCTGGAAGTGATTTAGGGGTGACTGTTGTGAGAGTTTAAAGTGTGTGTGTTGTGTGTGTGGGGGGGAGCATCTGGTGCTGCCAGTCTGCAGTATGGTAAATTCAAATTTCACAGTTCTATGGTGCACTTTGAGAAACAAAATACGCTGTGATTGTTTAAAAAGACAGCAAAAGACCCCAACAAACGACATCACGTGTCGACTGTTTTAAGAAAATAAACTTTAAGTCAAAGCATGTCAAAAAAAAAGAAAAAGTGCTCCCTCCTCATCAGTGATAGTGGAGCTGAGGAGGAAATGAATGCCAGCGGAGTTCATTGATGATGTCTGTGTATGAGCCAGAAAGCTCTCAGCCTAATTCATTTTACTGCTGTGGAATAAATCACAATATTTCTGCTCTCACAGATAAAAGGTTTTCTTTCAGTACTGAGCCCAAACGGGCAACGGGACAAAATCAGTTCATTAGAGTAATTGGTTTAATGTTTCTAATTACCTAAAGATATTTATACTGAAGAAAACTCAAGACGGTGCACAACCCTTTCTTTGCAGAATTAATCAGCCATTTATTTCCAAATCAAAGGTTTGATGATACTCTGAGGTGCCACGAGGAAACGCGAGGCTTGAATATTCATAATCAATAAACTCCGGCTTTGTTTGCAGTGTGAACACTGTGCTAACAGCTCACCATTAAGTTTGTGCATTAATCACTGGGTAGGCGTTCCGATTGTATTACAATAGAAAGTTTTAAATTGAGAAAAATTACTTTCTTTTTTGTCGTGTTTATCTCTACTTTCTGAACTTCTTCCAGCTGGTGATGGGAACACTGTGTACCAAATGTACTGATGAAGGAGAAGCTTGACATATCAAGGAGGACAGGAGCAGCCCTCAGTTTTGACAGCAGTGCAGCGGCTGTTATGTGCTGTTGTTGAATGTGTCGGCATTGTCATCACCTCCTGATTAGGCTGCTATCTCTGCTCTGCCTCCGAGGACAACGTCTGCAGAGAGCTGCAAAAAGTGAGTGTGTATTTCAGGCAGATGAGCTGAACTCCATGTAGCGACAAATCTTTGTGCTTCTGTTTGTGAAGCAGAGGGAGATTGGAGACGAGGAAGAGGAGGAATTAAAAAAACAAAAAAGGTTGGGCTCAGGTGGGTGCACATAGGCTGGCTTTGGGTCACAGAAATGAGCACAGCGCAGCGACTGCACAGTCCAGACCCAAACCAGAAGTGACAGTCTGTCTACTGTAAAGGTCATAGTCTTTATTACCTCTGTGGTCGCTATCTCTCTACGCACATCTGCGACCACCTCCCCTCCAAGCTTCTCCCTCCCCTCCCCTCAGGGGCACAGCAGTAGGCACCTCGTGGCATTTTAGAGAAGCCAAGCCACCGT